ACACACACACACACACACACACACACACACACACACACACACACACACACACACACACACACACACACATGAAAATGCTTTGTTGTCCGTAATAAACTCTGGCAGAAGAATGAAAGCTCCCTCAGACTCTCATTTGTATTGATCACATCTTAGCTGCGGAGTATCAATTCCTCCACATCATGTCAAATGCAATCAATTATTCCAAAGCAGAACAATCATAACAAGCTCTCAACTGCTTAGAGATGCTTTCACTGATGTGGGAAGTGATTCTCTGAATAATTCCTCAAAATATAGCRATGATATTGTGAGTTGTATAAATGTCTCGTTTCATACTGTCAGCCAGTATCGACTCGGTGACGGAGAAGAATCCATCTGTAATGAGGGTATCAAAGTTTTGCCATTTGTGTGAAAAAATACATATAATTGATATGTTCAAAGGCAGGAGCTACTGTCAGTTTTAGCAACTTTTTTTGTGAAGCGTTATMAGTAAATCAGTGCTTTTGCTTTGACTGCAGGCAAACAATAGAAATGTAATGAATGGTGGTACTTTTATTGTATTTCTCAGTGTAGGATTGCAAATATCAATCAAGGGTGCAAGCACCTATTCATCAGCAAAAGTCAGTTTGCACACGAGGAGTGAAAGATACTGTGGTCAGCTTGCAATGAATAACCCAATTATTTCACCCTGAATGATGTGTTTGTGATTACAGCAGAGCAACAAAGACGGAGAAGAAAGACAYGGTTTTAYTGCAAAGTGGATYWAAAAAAARARAAAAAAACAGACTGGTCAGATGAGTCATTCAATGCTCGCCTCTCAACGAGCGGGTGCGTACATGTTTAGCACGCATAACAACAAACCCACAGGCCAAAGCAAGGGGTCCTGGGTCCTGGTGGGGCTGTGGTGATGTAGGAGGCATTGTTTCGCACTTTAGAACTTTCAGCAAGAGAACAAAAACAGAAGCACACAGCCAGTCTGAGCAAGCCGAGCAGGCTGAAAGAGCAGCAGAGAATTTGGTTTGTTTTTGTTTACTTCAACCTGAGCCTGACCTCACCACTTGTGTGTAGAGAAGTATCCACTCGGTGGTCGTGCCTTAAGGCTACACATTGAATATAGTTATGTAACACGTGCAATGTAACAATGGGACAGTATTATGTAGTTTGCCATTTAAAGAAAATGAAAAAGGAACATTTAGGAAATAAAACCTACCAKTCTTTGAAGGATTTTTTTTTTATACCAGAGTTAAACTGAAACCATGTTAGGCTGAGAAGGAAGGTTTTGGTCAAACCTCGCGAATGACTTCACGCCTGATCTCATGTTGTGAAATCTCACAAGATGTGTTTGCATATGTCATGGAGGTGACTCAGCTGCCACCACACCAAACCTTAACTCAACATATATAAAATCAACTTAGTCTTAGCTGTTTTTGTGTTGGCGGCTGTTAGCTGTGGTGCATATATTAAAATGGACTTACTTTAAGGTCGTTTTCACACCAGATAGTCTGGTTGACCCGGTTCAATTGGGGGCCAAAACTGTAAGTTTTGTTTACATTTTCAGCTGGGGCAGTTCACATTTATACTGCACGTTGTCTAATGCAGTGGTTCCCAAACTTTTTATCTTCTGACCCACAAAATATTCACGGCAAAAACTTGTGACCCCAAATATTACTGGTCTGAGTACACAAACTTCATTAATAACCCTAAAAACACAGG